GAGGAACTCGGGTTGGAACTTCATGCAGATCAACTCGAACAATCCCAACAAAGTCATCTTTTATCATATCCTTATCCTTAACCACAACATCCAGAACAGAAGACTGCATTCTTTCTTTAGCAAAAGCAAAAACTGTATTCCATTCTGGATCTTGATTCTTCTCGAAGTGCTGTGTGACTCCTTTGTAGTTCCCAACTCTTACTTCAACATAAGGGTCAAGACTTCCCGTGAGATCTTTAGAAGGCAGATCTCGTGCTTTCACAACTCTTACAAACAGGAATTGCATAGGCTCAACAAGATCATATGTGCTGGATGGCCTGCCACCTCGAATAACTCGGCCCCCAACTATACGCCCTCCTCCAAGGAAAGGGCTTGTCTCTTTCAGTGAATATTCCACTGGCTGTGAAGATGAACCTGAGTACATCCTCACTAGTTTTGGCCCCTGAGAGGTAGATTTCATCTGATCAGCCCCAAATCTTGTTGGTTGACGGGAATCTGCAAAGGAAGAATACGGCTCTTGTTGTTGATGCTTCGAGTTTGGCAGGTGGTGGAATGTGCGTCTAGACCCTTTTCTACCATTAGCAACTGGTTCAGGTGTTAAATCCGGAATTTGTTGTGTAGGTTCATCACTTAGGCTTGAAAGGGAACTGATATGTGTTGAAGAATCCACTGCAGGAAACACGTTTGATACTCTAACTGATGGATCATCAGTTATAAAGACTTTCAAGCTAAGCTCTCCCCTAGCACGGGAGAGAAAGCCTAGAACAGCATCAGAGTATGGAACAAAGGACGATCCATTGATCTTAACCTTCCCAAGAGATGATTTAGAATTGCTTGATTTGTTATTGCTGTAAACAAGAGCTTCAAATGTGAGGCTTGTCAAGTCATTAGGATCAGAAATGTTGAAATAGAAAGTTTCATTCCAATAAGGGTCCAGATCTTTTTCTTTGATTGTGGTGCGAAACTTTTGGCCATCAAAGTGAAGCTCTACAAAGGGACTAGATGAGCCTTTCCCATCTTTAGACAGGAGATTGTGGGCACCAACAACTTCAACCCCAAGCTTGAGGTTACTCATGGAGTATGATCACAATAGTTCTGAATCAATCCAAGAGGGCAGATCGACCAAATCCAGTCAAGCAGGTGAAAACTGCAAAACAACATTAATATGATCGTAAGGGAATATTCTCGCAATGGAACACTATAACGCCAACTTAGAAACTTTTCTACATGAATAATCAAATGTAGCAGCAAAATAAAGAAGCAAACGGAGCAGCGCCCAAATTACCAATGAATTTCTTAGGAGAAGAGACCTGACACTACTGCTAGGTCATATCAGAGAAAAAACCCCAGTGAAGTCCACAACATTTTACAAGCTATCTTTACCCTGTGACCAAATAACATAAAAAGACAAAAATAAAACCTCTATGAATGACATAATCATCTTAAGGACATCGGACCAATATAAAAAAAATTATTTATCAGCCAATCATTTCAAGTTTTAACCCACCAGAGAGGTCTCAAGGAAGGGCACATTACTTAAGAGACATTATACTCTGACTCGACAGAAAAATAACCATATAGTATATAAAAAAGGAGACAATCCATAGGTAGTGTTTGTAAAGTAGCTAAGGCAGGGCAGTCGTCAAAAGGGAGAATTTTTGTTAGCCATTAAATTCTGGAGAAACAACATATACTTATAAAAAACCCAGTAATAGTACAAGACTACAAGTGTTCCTAGAAAGAAGAGATGGTTGGCATCTACCCCTACAGCGACATATCCGGTTATCCGATAACAATACAATGAGCTAAAAGGAGTCAAGAAGTTCACCTTTTGATTCTTTATCTTTTTTTAACGTTCAAAAGTAATAGTAGAAGGAGAGGAGTTAAGAGTTAAAGCAAGAAAATCAACCATCTTTGGAGTAGAAAATTGGACAGGGGAATCTCTAATAAGCATATAAATAATCAAGCTAGCTTAACAATAACAAAAGACACCTTTTCTGAAGAAGTGACGGAATATCCTTAAAGTTCTCTTATCAATAGCCAGCTCAAGATAAAGAGACAAGAAGAATCTGAATTAACCTTGAGGGACTTTCTGCAGAATCTTTGAATCTTTTTACCTTTTCTTTCACATATCATTTTTAGGTAAAGGATTTATTTAATTCTTTAATAACGTGACCCCACCAAAAAACTAAGGGCCAAACATTAATGATCTTCAGAAATTGTTATACTTGTAAATCATGGCAGCCTTCAAAGTTGACCTAAAACTAGTGATTTCTGGAGAAAAATAATCACTCAAAAAGCAAAAATAAAAAACAATACTCAATTTACATAAACAGGAGACAACTTAGCTGATACCCTTTTAGGCAACAAACTTTCATTTTTCACAAAACAAAATTTGAACTCAAACCTCAAAAGTAACAAAATCTTAATCCAATTGATATAAACAATTATCAGCAATATAATCTAGCCAAGAACAAAAACAAAAAATATACTAGTAGTGTAACAATTAGTAGCAAAAACTTCTCAAAACCGAACAATTAAGAATTATAAACAGAGAAAGATAAATCAACCATTAGATAACACAAGATTCTAGCAGAATAAATGAATAATAACATGAAAACAACGGGAGATTTTTAAAAAAAATAAAAATAAAAACTGCACCTTTTTTCTTTTCAACTGAATCTTCCACTGAATAATCTATATGGGTTCGAAAATTCTTTGATTCTCAGCTTCAATATTGAAAAGAAAAGGAGGAGAAGAAGAAAATGAAGGGAATGGTTGAAGATGGTACAAGGAAAGAGAGAAAGGAAGAGACAGAGATATATTCAGAGTCGTGGAAAACGAGATAACATTATTGAATTTGGTTAGAAAATTAAAAAAATGTGTACCTGCCACTGGTTACAGGTTACATGTACCCCAGCAAAATTAAAAAAAAGATTGAATAAATAGAAGTTGTAGTACAAAAGACCTTTAACAGCATGACATAAAAGGACAAGTAGAAGATGACTAGGCAGATGAATGGTCCCCCAGTTCCCAATTGGTCCATATGATATCAGTTTCTTTCGTCACTATTACCTCTTTTTTTTTTTTTTTTTT